AGAAAGAAAAAGACAACCTATATACACAAAGGGGTTAGAACAAATGAGAACAAGATAAAATTCAACCCTCACTTTTTTTTTTTTTTATGGCTTGTAATTTTTACTTCACTCCAAACTAATCTACCACTGAAAAAATTTCTTAATCTCCTCAAAAATCAACATCATCATAAAAAATCATTGAACAATATATATATACATACCTGTACTGGTCAATCGCCACTCCGGCGAAAACCAATATTCATCATCATTATCATCAGCAGGAAAAAACGGGGGCGGACTCACTGGTATCCAGCAAACCGAGAGAAGCGTCCCCAAAGCAGCATCATCATCAAAATCACATCAAAAACTCATCAACAATATCAGTAAACAGGGGCAAAATTAACCAAAGAAAGCAGTCATAGGCAACTCAACAGAATAAGCAGCATAAAGGTGCAGGTAAAGCAATGAAAGATCAGCAGGCAAACAAGTGAGAATCCCAGCCAAGTCACTCCTTACCAAGAGTATATCTCCTACTCATCAAAATAAGCATGCAAGAGCAAGGGAGAGAGATATACTCAAGGGACGTAGCCTACTGGCCACGAGGGCCAGGCTTTCTAAGTGAGCCGGTCTGATGTTGCGGCACGTCATAAGCGAAGCCACTAGGGGGCCAAAAAGGCCCTAACCACCGTCAAAGCCCGGCGGCCAACCATAGAGACCCCTTTTAAGATCCTCTTGCCAACTGGGCAAAGGATCAGAGGGAGTGTCCTCAAATTGGGAATACAGAGGAGCGGGGTGATCAAGGATGCATGTAGGGGTAAGCGGGGTCTCTTCTAAAGTCACACCCGCAGGGCACACGATAATCGTACTGCCAGTCCTCTAGGAAGATGCGAAGCTCCCTACCAGGCTCGGAGGGACCTTGTCAGTAGGGGTAAGTGGGGAGATTGTCCCCCCCCCCAAGAGGGAACATGGTCGTGCTGAGGCAGCCAATTAAGGTAGTTCACAGGGGAAGCAATCTCTCCTCTATCCACAGCTGAGTCATAGAGGGCCTGCTGCTGCAGATGGTGGCCCTGATGTGACTCATAAATCACTTGCAACTTCCTAACTATATCAGATAGCTAAAATGTACATGTGGGTTGCTGTGCACCCGCCTGCTGCTGCTGCTGCCCACTACTAAGCCTCCCCTCCAACTCCTCCTGTACCTCATCCTCTCCCTCTATATCGGGCACACGCCCATTGTCTCTCAGGACTCTCCACACATAATCGGTGTCACGGGTGATGGAGGTAAGGTGGGGTTTGGGAAGAAAGCAATGGTGTTCCCCTCTCACAAGCCAACTGTAATAGGTAGGGTTAGTGGTCGGCAGGTAAATGTCACCGCTACTCTCTACAGGTGTGCAAAGAGGTAGCATATCGGTGTGCCCCAACTTAATGGCCAACCTAGTGACCATTGCCCCGCAATGTATGTCTCCCGACCTCTTACCCTTAGCGATGGCTACACAAGTGGTCATGAAAAGAAAGCCTAAGTTAAGCCTACGGGGTTGCTCTCTCCTAGAAGCAATCCACAAAATACACACCTCCTCTTTAGATAACTTCCCTAGATCTTGCTTGCTAATAACTGAGTATCCTAATAACCGGTGCAAGATCCTAAGGGCCGGGTGGTACATCTCACTGGCAATGGATTTCCTTGTAGTGAATTCACTCCTACCAGAAACATGACGCCACCAACTAGTCTCATTGTAATCTCTAAAGTTTTCATAAAGAGGGTGGTAGATGTCTGCTTCAGGGTGGAAATCTAGGGCTTGGTTGAATTGCTCTAAAGACATCTCATGTGGAGTGTTAAAAAGTTGGAATTTAATCTTATAAACATCGTTATCCATATCCAAGGTATCTACAGAAAAGGAGGAGAAGAACTCTAAACAGGGCTCTAAATAAGTCATGAAGGAGGAGTTAACAAAAGATCCCATCCTCAAATTCTCAAAAAGAAACCATAGGTCATCATTTATGCCCAATTTCTCGATATCCCCTCTATGGTAGTGCCTCGAAGGTCTGAATTTCCGCTTTTTTAATTCATATCATTGTAAACAGGGTTATAGCTTTTGTTGATGAATTTTAGGGTAGGAAGAGTGTTTGGAGTGTTGGAATCAGGGTTTCGGGAAGCTTGTCCCAAATTTGTGGTTTTCCTCTTTTTCCCAATCCTCAAAGAACTCATGACTACTCTCTTTTTTTTTCAACACAAGCCAACTCGGGCTAATTCCAACCACAACCTCCACAAACTACAATGTACCTATTTTACAGCAATAATAATCCAACAACAACCAAATATGTCCACAAATCTAACAGCAATTTTCAATGATAATCAACAATATCCTGCAATAATAAATAATAAACAACAAAACTCCACAAATAATTAGCAGTATCTCAATACTAACCAAAGGTAATCAAAATCTTTGCTTAAAAATAAATCAAAAGATATAAAGAGAACAATGAAATCGAATACCTAACCTTTTTGTGCGAAAATTTGTTGTTTTTATGGACTTGAAGAACCGGATTGGAGGGATGTTGCTACAATGTTCGTGTCGTTGAACCTTCAGGATGAAATTGTTGTGATGCTCGTGATTTGATGATGGCGTAGTGGTGAGATGGTGAAGGCGCGACCGTGGTGATGATGATGGTGAAGGAATGACCTTGAAGCTTGTTTGATGATGGTGGAGATGGATTTGAGAGATGGAGAAGTTAGGGTTTGTTTGAGTTTTAGAGAGAGAGAGAGTGTGAGAGGAGAGTTTTTTTTTTAGAGTGAGAGGGGAGATAAGGGGTTTTCACGGTTTAGGGCGTTTTTCTTCTTTTTTCTTTCTTTTCTTTACGAAATTCAACTGGGCGTGTCCACTCCCGATATAGGCGCGGCCGCGCCAAATACAGGTGCGCCCGCGTTTAATGATCACACGCCCGCGCAGATAAGATCGAGGGTTTAGTAAATATTCTTCAGATGTGACGCTTGTAAAGGGGCGAGCGAGCCACTTGCAGAAGCACGGTCTCTCCTCAGTCGCGCACAAACCTCACACCCCTCTGTTTTTTTTTTCAAGTTTCAGGCGCCAAAAACGGCGCGTCCGCACGGTCTTAAGAGCGGTCGCTTTTTCAACAGTAGCGCGATATCTCCTTAGCCGCACTCAAACCGCGTACCCTTCTGTTTTTTTTTCTTCAATTTCAGACCCCAGATGAGGCGCGCCCGTTCCATGTTTATCGCGCCCGCACCATCAGAAGATTGCGGACCGCTCCTTTTATCGCGCACAAACCGCGACCCACCCTGTCTTTTTTTTTTTCAATTTGCATACTAGGATTAGACGCGCCCGCGCCAAAACGTTCGCACCTGTTCCTAATTCCTTTCGCGGGCCATTCATTGATCACGCACAAACCGCGACCCATATTACCTTTGGTCCTAATTGGACCTCTAGCTCTCAAAATATTTCAATTTTGCTTCAACTCTTCTCTTTTCTCTAAAACACATTCGACAGCACGTACATCACATTAGATCAAGAAAAGTAGAATAAAAAAGGTTACAAACCGGGTTGCCTCCCGTAAGCGCTTCTTTAACGTCACTAGCTTGACACCCTTCACATGAAATCATGGTGACTTGAAAACATCAATGAGTGATATATTTTTCGGCTTCTCAATTGATTGACCCTCGTAGTATGCCTTGAGACGGTGCCCATTCACTTTGAATGGAGGGTACTTGTCATTGAATATCTTGACTGAGCCATATGGAAAGACGTTGGATACTTGGAATGGACCGCTCCATCTAGACCTCAATTTTCCGGGGAAGAGCTTGAGTCTTGAATTGTAGAGTAGGACCTTTTGCCCTTCCACAAACTCCTTCTTGGAAATTTGAGTGTCATGCCATGCCTTGGTTCTTGCTTTGTAGAGGCTTGCACTATCATAGGCATTCATTCGGAGCTCTTCTAGCTCATGAAGATCTAGCATCCTTTGTTCACCCGCGGCATGGAGATCAAAATTGATTTGCTTAATGGCCCAATTTGCTTTATGCTCCATTTCAACCGGGAGATGGCAATTCTTCCCATAAACAAGCTTATAGGGAGTTGTCCCAATTGGAGTCTTAAAGGCAGTCCTGGAAGCCCATAATGAGTCAATGAGCATACTAGACCAATCCTTCCTTGTTCAAGCAACGGTCTTCTCCAAGATGACTTTCAACTCCTTATTCGTGACCTCCGCTTGACCACTTGTTTGGGGGTGGTAAGCAAGGCCTCGTTTGTGCGATACACCATACTTTGAAAGAAGCTTGTTGAATGTATGGTGCTTGAAGTGTGAACCTCCATCACTTATGATTTCCTTAGGAACACCGAATCTTGGAAAGATGACTTTCTTGAACAAATTGACAACCACCTTTGAGTCATTGGTGGGAGATGCAACAGATTCCGCCCATTTAGAAACATAGTCAACGGCAACAAGAATGTGTCGGTTCCCTTGAGATGAGATGAAAGGGCCCATGAAGTCAATTGCCCAAACATCAAAGATTTCGAGCTCAAGGATCGGATTTTGAGGCATCTCGTCACGCCTTGAGATGTTTCCCGTCCTTTGGCACCTATCACATGTCTTAACAAAGGACCAAGCGTCCTTGAACAAAGTCGGCCAACACTAGGCGAAAACACGTAATCCGCACCGGTTCAGAACCCCCATTTAGCACCGGTTTTGAACCGGTCCTGATTTGGGGGGTGCAAAAACCCCAGACATTTCGCAGCGGTTCAAAATCGGTGAAAATCAGGCTTTTCGCACCGGTTCTGGGTGAAAACCGGTGCGAAAAACTACACTTTTAGCACCGGTTCTTTCTTTGAACTGGTGCAAAAAGTGGCAAAAAAAATTTTAAAAAAACTTTTAGCACCGGTTCTGTCCAAAACCTGTGCCAAAAATGCCCAAAAAAATTAAAAAATTTGTTTTTTTGCATTTTTTTTCACTTAAATTGTACCAAATACTTGTATATAATCATAATATACATAAAACACATATATTTTCTTCAATAACTTGTAATATTACACTGAAAAAAACCAAAATAAAAAATGGCGATACAATTATTTGAGGAATTGTTCAAGTCCGAGTTTGTCTACATTTGCCAGTTTCAGGAGTTGTTAATGAGCTTTACTCAGCCAAACACATACATGTCTTTGCAACTGTTCAAGTCTGAGTTTCTCTATATTTGCCAGCTCATATTCACCATTTTCCAAGTGTCTCTAATCTGGCCTAAGCCTCGAGTCAGTTGGTGGCAGCTTCTCTTGCAAACCAGGAGTCAGTTGATTGGTTTCCTATCGCACCAGCAGCTACATTTGATGTAGTTGTAGGGCAATCTTTTGCCCAGCGCCCTTCCAGGCCGCATTTGAAGCAGGATGAACCACTTTTCATGCCATAGCTTCTGTTGTCAGTGGCTTCGGACTTCTGGTTTCCTATCGCACCAGCAGCTACGTTGGATGTAGTAGTTGGGCAATCTTTTGCCCAGTGCCTCCAGATTACAGATATGTTCTGTCCTAAATTTGTGCTGGTCTCAAGAGAGAACAATAAAAATTAAAATGTTGCAGCTATATTTCACAAGTTGGAACAGCTAAATGCAAAAATAAAAGCTGAGCGCCATAAAATAAAAGTTGCTGGTTCCTGTAAAATTAAAATGTTGCAATTATATTCATCAGCTATTTGAAGAGCTCCTGTTTTATTGATCTTTACTTGAAAACCTGAGCGCCGTAAAATAAAAGTTGCTGGTTCCCAGTGATTAAATGAATCCAATTGCTTGACAAGCAATACAAAAATATGTATCACTTCACAGTCTATAAGCCTTAAAAATGATATAAATACAACATGAATTGGTCAGATATGATTTGGAAGGCATAGACAATGTATTTCAAGCATGAAGTAATTTCTTTTCCTTTATTGTATACATTGGGTATATTAATATATTTCTAAAAAAATGGCTAGATCACCTCAGATCCTATTCAAAATCAACACAAATAGAAGCCACCCCTTACCTAAATGGTCACTTGAATAAATTACCTCATGTGTCGTCCAATAAAACTTCATCCTGATTTTTCAAATTTTTCTCTACTGTGGTTATTTACTTTTCAGCTAGATTATATTAAAGATCAATCTCTACGTAGAGGAAAAATAAGTTGTTCTGCACAAAAGCCTTTATTTAAAATAAGAATAAAAATAAAAAGGAATTTAAATCATTCTTTCCTTCTAAATTTCACCAATGCAACGAAAAGTGTGAAACAAGAATTTTACAGGGACTTTCATATTAGTATTTTCCTTCCCTTCCAATACTTATGTATAGTTTAATCCAAACAAGGAAGAATTATATGATTTTATCAGCAATTATAAAGCCTGAGAAATCAACCCTCAAATCGGGTCAACTATCCCTAGGGACTAAGATATCTAACATTTCATCCTCTTTCCCACTTGTTTAAAGCTTTAAGGGGGCCGACAATCTAGTCTAGAGCCAATATCTCCATAATGGATTATGCAAAGATTTTAAAACAAAAGGCAATGTTCTTGGGTCGTGAAAAGAAAATTTAGGTGAAAGATAGTCATTTTCTAATATGGATTTTTCTTTCACGTACTTATTTGGAAGCTAAGGTAGTTAACTGTTCACCAATGATTGTTTGAATGATGTCAACTCTAATCAGAAGAATGCAAAGAATATAAATATTATCACTAGTAAACTTACCAAAACTAATACACCGAAATTGGCTTGGCTTTTAGTAATATACGAGTCAATCTTTACTTGCATATCTGGGTCTAGTGAAGGAAAAAATATTCAAGAACTGACCAACAATGCTTATTAGGAACTAGATAAACAAAGAGATTTAGTGAAAATAGACTTACCACATGTTATTTTATTCTGGTCATTGGCAAAGCGTCTTACTAATTCTCCCTGATTATTGTAACAAAAGAGATTTTCCGATTTGTCAAGAATGTGAATCTCTTGAAGATGCACTTTCAAAGGCGGAAAATGATTTTGCTGAACTGGATAGTGAAAAGGAAGCCGCTAAACAGGAAATATCAACATTAAGTTCCAAACTTAATACCTGTTTAGAGGAGTTGGCTGGAACTCATGGTAGCTTGGAAAGCAGGTCCAAGGTAATTTTTTAAGATGATTCATCATACCACTCAAAAAACCCACAGCCACCATTCTCCTGCAAAAAAAGAACCTAAATGTTAGCATCCCAACATTATTATAGTCTCATCTAGGAAAAAAGAACCAATAATTATTAGAAGGTGTAAAGTAGTAAACTCAAAATATTCACCCACTGATGTAGGTTCATTTCACAATGCACCCTGTGTAATGGTTAAATAGCTATCTCTACTGCTCAACACGACAAGTTTGCATCAGAAAGTCTATAAAAGGGTTAGGAAGGGAAACGATACTCAGTAGCATACAAGAAAAAGAAAGCTCCCTACTACAAAGACAATAAATGGACTATATTCCACATAATTATGCATAGTAATCAAGACAATTCCACATAATCAAGACAAGATAGATGTAAACCAATCTTCCAAAGAGATTTGCAGCTAGCAAAACAACCAATGCCCAAATTTCTCAAAAAAATCCTAGTTACATAAGTTAGTCTTAGAGTCTTTTCTTTCCCTGGAGGTTGGATCATACAGACATACAGGACCTTGTAGCAATAGCAAATTCACAGTTGACTTTACCTGTCAAATGCATGACCATATAAAAGTTGCAAGCTCTTAACATGCTTGTTGGCTATGCCGTGAATCACATCAAGTTGGCATTTATTCAATCAATCATAAGTACAGCTTTAAAATCCGATTTTTCTTCTCTAAAAACACAAAATAAATTGCTGCCAAAGTTACCACATATATAAGCAATACAAACAATCACATGATGAGCTAGCTAAAGATAAAGGTCCGAGTAACAACCGCTAGCATTAAAACATCGTCTTTCTTCATTAGCAAACAATTAAATGCTTTCACCATCCACATTTTAAGAATTATTAGTCTTATTATTAACACACTGATTCATCCAAGCAACCAATACATCAACTTAAATACGAAATTAAACTTACTAAATTTCGAAAGTGGTCTATTGCAATTCACATCCAAAAACCAAAAATGATCAAATGAAATAACTTGTAAATAGTCTTAAACAAATCAATTCTCACTACCACAACCCCAATTTCACTTCAAATCAAACTTGATAAAAACACAAATCACAAAATAACATAAAACAACAACTCCAATTCCAAAATCAAAATCCCTAATTAGAAATAAACTCAGAAACCTGACGATTAGGGCAACGAAAGAACTTCCGACCGCGATTACGCTCTGTATTAGTAGTAAGAACCAAACAACTCCCCAATCCACAAGGACACACCTTCTCAACCCCCACCATGAAGAGTATTCACAGTATTCTACAATATCATCCCAAAACCAATTTCGGAGATTCAGAGTCAAATTAGAAACCCTAATTACAAAACCCAGCAAAAATTATCATAAAAATTGAAGAAAGAGAAACAAACCAGGAGACGTTGAGGAACATTGAAGGAGCAGAGAATACGAACAGGTCCACTATTCAAAGCCGCCGTGACAAGGAGGTCGTTGTGGTGGAGGTGTAGCTGTGCGCGCTTCAATGAGAAACCCTATATTACCACAACCGTAAAATTACTAAATTGAAAAGAAAATCAACGACAAACCCTAGATTGCGAATGAATTCAAGAGATTAAGTAGACCACAAGAAAAATTTTACCTCGAAGCTGCTTCAATGGAGGTGAGAAAGCTCAGAATCGGCTTCAATGGAGAAGATAGATCACACGTGAGTTCAATGGAGGCCAGAGATATGGAGAGAGAAGGAGGTGCTGCTTCAGTGGAGAGAGAAAGCTCGTAAACCACTTCAATGGAGAGAGAGCGAGCTGCTTCAATGGAGTGCAGTTCGGGAAGAGAAGGAGATGCGAAAACGAGAGAGAAAGAGAAGAGCAGAACGAAGAGGGAAAGCAGGGGGGAAAAAAGAAAGAAGAAGAAAGAAAGCCATAAACCGATTTTTTTTTATACATTACGCACTGGTTTGGTTAGAACCGGTGGGAATCCCCTTTCTTTCGTTATTTTTTTTCTTTTTTTTCGTTTGTAATTTGCACCGGTTTAATAGGAACCGGTGCGAAAAGTCATTTCCCCAATACCGTCCATTTCTTTTGCCACCGGTTTTCAAGAACCGGTGCGAAATGTGCGGTGCCTAATACATTTTTTCTACTAGTGCAAAAGAGCATCGATTGCAAGACTTTAGAGGCGGTCTTTTGGGCACTCATGTGCCCACCACAAGGGGATGAGTGGCACATTGAGAGCAGACTTTGGAATTCTTCATCAGGAACACACCTCCTCAAAAGCCCATCCACCCCTCTTTTCAACAATGTTGGATCATCCCATATGTATTTCTTGGCTTCATACTTAAGCCTTCGTTGTTGTTGAGAAGTAAAAGTTGGTGGTATATCACTACATGCAAGGTAATTGACGATGTCGGCAAACCAAGGGGTTTCCTTTGCATCAAGAGCATATAGCACATCGTCCCTTAAAGCATCTTCAATCGGGAGGTCGTCTTCAATCATTCTTGTGCTTCCCAATCTTGAAAGATGAACTACTACAAAATTCTCGACTCCCTTCTTATCTCTTAATTCCAAATCGAAGTCTTGAAGGAGCAAAACCCATCTCAACAACCTTGGCTTTGCCTCCTTCTTGCTCATCAAGTAGTTAAGAGCCGGATGATTGGTGTACATTATTGTCCTAGACCCAATGAGATAGGGGCTAAACTTCTCAAAAGCATGAACAACCGCTAGGAACTCCTTCTTGGTTGTGGTGTAGTTCCTTTGCGCATCGTGGAGAGTCTTGGACAAATAGGAAATCACATGTAGCCTACCCTCTTTTTGTTGCCCTAGAACCAACCCGATGGCCTCATCACTTGCATCACACATTAATTCGAACGGTAGTGACCAATCGGGTCCTTGGACAATCGGAGCGAAACACAAGGCTTCTTTCAACCTAAGAAAAGCACTCAAACAAGATTCATCAAATACAAAATCTTTATCTTGTTGTAGAAGAGATGTGAGGGGCTTAGAAATCAAAGAAAAGTATTTAATGAAGCGGCAATAAAAGCCGTCATGACCAAGGAAAGTCCTCACTTCTCTCACATTTGTGGGAGGAGGAAGTTTCTCAATCACATCAACTTTTGCACCATCAACTTTGATGCCCGATTGGGAGACCTTATGGCCAAGCACAATACCATTCTCCACCATGAAGTGGCATTTCTCCCAATTGAGCACCAAGTTGGCACTCTCACATCTTTCTAGACAACGAGATAAATTCAAGAGGCACATCTCATATGTACCTCCGCCCATAGAAAAATCATCCATAAAAACCTCCATCTCTTCCTCAATCATGTCACTAAAAATTGACATAATGCATCTTTGGAAGGTAGCCGGAGCGTTACAAAGACCAAATGGCATCCTAGACCTACGGTAGGCAAAGGTACCGTAGGGGCAAGTAAAAGTGGTCTTTTCTTGATCCTTTGGGTCTATTGGGATTTGGAAGAATTCCGAATAACCATCAAGAAAGCAATAGAATGCATGCTTTGTAAACCGCTCAAGAATTTGATCGATAAACGGTAATGGAAAATGGTCTTTGGAAGTATTAGCATTCAATTGGCAATAGTCAATACACATACGCCAACCCATCACAAGGCGGGTTGGGACCAATTGCTGCTTGTCATTGACCATTATGGTCATCCCTCCCTTTTTGGGCACTACTTGAACCGGGGACACCCAATCACTATTAGCGATCGGATAGATGATCTCCGCTTCAAGCAACTTAGAAACTTCCTTCCTTACAACCTCTTGCATGGAAGGATTAAGTTTCCTTTGCCTTTGCCTACACGGCTTAGCACCCTCCTCTAAATCAATTTTATCCATGCATAGAGAGGGGCTTATACCCTTGAGGTCCTCAAGGGTATAACCCAAAACCTTTCGATAATTTTTCAAAACATTGAGCAACAGGAAGGTTTGCTCATCCGTGAGGCTTGTATTGACAATGACCGGGAAAGATTCATTTGCATCTAGGAAAGCATACCTCAAACCCGAAGTTAGAGGTTTCAAGTCTACCTTCGGTGCTCCTTTACCATTGGAGACCTTTTCCTCTTCCGCTTGGAAGACTTCATAAGTTGGGAGTATCTCTTGGTCGGTGATTGTTTCCACTTTGTTGTCAAGCATCTCCTCCTTTTGATCACCTATCTCATTCTCATTCAACAAAACATTCTCAAGTGGATCGTTAGAGGCATGCACACGAGGGTATCGAAATTCATTCATCAAATTTTCAAAAGTATCTACCCTAAATCATTCATTACTTGCGGAAGGTTGTTTCATGACATTGTTCAAATCAAATTCAATAGAGTCATTATCAACCTTCAAAGTCATTTTACCTTCTTTAACATTAATGATTGCTTTAGAGGTAGCTAGAAATGGTCTACACAAAATTATAGGAATCCTCTCATCCTCATCCATCTCTTGAACATAAAAGTCCACCGGAAATGTGAACTTACCAACTCTAAGGGGTATTTCCTCAACTTTCCGTATGGGCAATTTAGTGGACCTATCTGCTAGTTGGAGGGTGATGTTGGTAGGTGAAAGACTTCCTACATTGAGCTTTTGGTAGACCGAGAAGGGCATATGAATTACACTAGCACCTAGATCGCACAACGCCTTTCCTAAGTGAATCTCATTAATGGAACAAGGAATGGAAAAACTACCAGGATATTGCAATTTTGTTGGGATCTTGCTAGAGAGAATGACACTACAATTTGCTGTCAAGTTTACGGTTTCAACTTCTCTCTTCCAATTCAATAGGTCTTTTAGGAACTTAGAGTAGTGGGGAATCTCCTTCATGGCATCCACAAAAGGTATCGAAACATGACTACCTCTAAGAACTTTCCAAATTGGGCATCAAGCCTAGACCTAGCAAACCTTTGGGGGTATGGAAATTTCTCATTCCTAGGTTGTCGATTTAGGGGAAAAAGTGTTTGATCTTTGTCACTCTCTTTTGTTGGCTCCTTCTCTTTTTGCTTCTCATCCCTCTCATTCTCTTTTTCTAGGACCTCACTCTCTTTAGGTGGCTCATCCTCGTCTTCTAGTTCTATCCTCACATTGGAACTCTCCTCATCATTTGACTCACTCTCAAGGACTTTCCCGCTCCTAGTAGTGATAGCATACATAGGTTTGGGGTTTACACCTTGACTAGGAAAAGAGGAAGAGGAAGAAGGGGAGGATGAGGAACTAGGTGGGACTATTTTTGAGATTTGGGTCTCTAGCATTTTCATATGCGCCTTGATTTGCTTCTTTTCCTCCTCTTGGATTTTGTTAAAGCTCTCTTGATTCTTGATGAATTCTTGAAGCACACCCATCATAGAATCCAAAGCGACTTCCATTTGAGGAGGAGGTAAGTTGGAATTTTGGGCTTGCGGCCTCACCTGCTCAAAATCGGGAGGTCTATTTTGAGGCCTTCCATTTCTGTAACCCTGATTGGAATTAATAGTGTTGTTGGTTTCGATTCCAATTGGGCCTTTGGTTTGAGTAACTTCTTCCATTGTAATTGGAAGAGTTTCCCTTACCTTGGCCTTGGTTATCATAACCACCACCACTTTGATTCCATTGATTTTAATTCCAACCACAGTTTTGGTTTTGATTCCAATTTGGCCGCATTCCAACATTTCCCTCACATGGCACAAAATTCATGGCATTAACATCTTCAACATTATCATCATTTTCATGGGGAGAGGGACCTTCACTTATGGACATAGATTGTTGAGAATTATGATCATAGTTTCCACATATATCACAAAACCACAACCGGAAGGCATAGCATTGTAATTAGAAGTAGAGGGGCTCATACCATAGCCTCCCTTGGTAGAAGGGGAGGAACTTTGAGAATTTGTCTTCATAAACTTTTCCATTTGCTTAGCCATTTTGGTCATTTGGTTCGAAAGGTTGGTGATTGCATTTGTTTGCTCTATGGATTGCACCGTACCTTTGCTAGAAGTGGCTTCCCTCTCACCTTCGTACCAATCCTCATAATTGCGCACGACATCTTCTATGATACTCTCCACTTCATCTTCCCTTTTGTTCATGATTGGGCCTCCGGCTCGGCATCAAGGCTAGTCTTTCTTTGAGAGGAGAGTCCTCCATAGAATGTTTGGAGAACTTGCCAATTAGGAATCCCATGGTGTGGGCATTGCCTTTTAATTCTTTGAATCTCTCCCATGCCTCACAAAGAGACTCTCCACCTCTTTGGCGGAAACTTTGAATCTTTGAGCGAGCCTTGGTGGTTTTCTTGTGATTGTAAAACCTTCCTAGGAACGTCGTAGTTACCTCATTCCAAGTTGTGAGGGAACCGGGGGGACATCTTTGTTCAACCAATGTTCCGCCGCTCCCATGAGTGAGAACGAAAACATCTTCAATCTTATGTACTCTAGGGAGACTCCGTTGATCTTGATAGTGTCACAATACTTGAGAAACTCTTTGAGATGCTCATGGGGATTCTCAAATTTCCCACCGGTAAATTGCCTCTTCTCTATCATTGAAATGAAATTAGGCTTTATCTCGAAATTGTTTGCTTGAGTGGTGAGGGCTAAGATCCCACTTTGAGAGGCATATGGTTCGGGTGCTCCAAGTTGCTTTAGTGACCTTTGATCACCCATGTTTCCTTGATCACCCATGCTTTGTTGATTATGGTTATTGGCAAATGGGTTGGGAATTAAGCCTGTGGATGGTTCACCCTCCTCACTTGAAGTGGGTGAAGATGGGGTAGGGGAACTTCTCACTTCCTCTTGAAGTGGGTCTTCACCTCTCTCCCTTGCTTGTCTCCTCAATTGAGCTAGAGTACGCTCTAGCTCGAGGTCTATGGACACCAAAGGCTTAGAGCAATTAAGCCTCCTGTGCGTATACAAAGCTAAGCAGAAAGTGAGCACTGACAAGATACAGAAAAACAAAAGAACGGAAAAGAACTAGTCTCAACAAGAAAATAAACACACAATGGAAATCGTTCCCCCGTCAACGGCGCAAATTTGACAGACGGTATTTTAGGTCGTTACTAAGATACCTCTATCAAATGATATTTTTAGTCCTAAACATGCAACTAAACGAGTATAGAGGCAAGTAATGGGTCGAACACAGGGAAACGATTAAGCACCGATATTTATCTCCTAATGTCAATCTAGTTCGGTCAAGAAATATGGTGGGTAAAGTAATGACTAAAGGGGATAGAATAACAATTAAAACAAGCACTAGGGGGAAGGATCAAACATGCTATGAATTCAATGAAGTTAGGCATCAGAAAATAGGTTTACATGTAACCCAAACAACTCATACAAGGCAATATCAAGAATACTCTCTAATCACCTATCGGGATTAAGAGCTATCCTAGCTAGCATACACTTACACTATCGTCATATGGTATAAAAACTAAGGTCATGCAATAATAAATCACCTAATGACTATTCCTAAATCACACTATCGTCATGATTTAGTTCAAGTCACTCAACCTCAACATGCATATGGCCATAAACATGGAGTGGCCAATAAGTATAAGCACAAGGAAGATTTAATCACAAATATTCCAAATTAACCTAGCGTAACATACATCAAACTCAAAGAATGCCTTCACCAAACCCCTAGCAACAAGACAACTACTCACAATCCATATCCCTAACTACAATTATACTAATCAACATAGTAACTAAGGAGTTAATGAGAAAGATGATAACTTTATCAACTAAACCAACAAAGATAGGAACTTTAAGCATAAAAACAAGAGAATAAGTAGAAGAATACCAATAACTTCGTTGAATACTAAGTGGGAGGACAAAACCCATTCAAGTTCCAAAAAGCTTCTTCTAAAATACCCAAAAATAACTAAAGTTTTGGGAAATAGAAAATTACACTAAGATCGATTGAGCATTTTCTATACCCATTAGCTAAAAACTAGATCTAAGAGTTTTTACCCTAAAAACTTCTATTACAAGCATCCTTTTTCTCTTCTAAAGTATGCTGAATTTTTAAAATCAAAATTGCTCCTTTTTTCTCTCCTCTTTGCTGTTTTAATCTGATTTCGGGTTTCGGATTGTCGTAGAAAGGCGCGGCCACGCCTAAAAGTAGTGCGCCCGCTCCAAATATGGGTATAACGGGATTGGACCAGCTCAGCACGCACCCGCGCCAAAACACTGGTGCAATGTCTTCAATCCTTGCTCTAGTTCCTTCCCAATCCGAATCACCGACAATAATTTGCAATTACAAAATAGGAAGGCAAAGGGTAATACAACGAAGGGGAAGGGGAGTAAAGACTACCTAAACCATATAGAAACACATTACGCAACACATAGGTAGACTACTCAATTTAGGCAAAACATAACAAAAGCACACTAGAATGAACCAAATTACTACTAAAACTACTAGAAAAGACTACCCTAGGAGTGACATAAATGTCACCCATCAGTGTGCTTAGTTTATTTTTATTGCTTTCATAGTATAGATTATATTTCTTCTGGGTTAGTTTTCATAACTTTTAAACAAAAGAAAATCCGAAAAATACGATCCGATGAATGATAAATCATGCTTCCCTGTGCCCCATACATGAAAATTGTTTATTCTTGGTATATGATGATGAGTATTGTGGATTAGTTGGTCATGATTTTGATGTTTGATTGCCTTGAAATTTTAACATGCGTCAATTTTGCCCAACTACTTGTGAATATAGTGCTTGACTAGTTGATTCGGTGAGGAATTTGTGTTAGTTCCTAGTATCTCAACGAAGTTGAGTATTGGTTTTTAACTATGAGTAATGTTTGTATGACTCGTTATTATGCACATTGAGGAGAACAGAGACATTTGTTCCTTTAGGTAACCTTCAGATGATATTAGATACATTTGTTTCCTTCTTGCTACCCATGTTGTTGCTTGTGCCCTATTATTGTTTATTTAGCCACATTATAAGCCTATTTAAGCTCCATTGGTTACTAGTCCCAAGCTTGGCTTGGGGGAGCTAATAGTGAGTGAGGTGAAGGAGTTGTAGTGTGCACATAATTTGCACAATGTGGGTGAATAAGAGGAGTAAATTGTTCTTTCGATATTGTGAATGGAAAAATTGAGAAATTGTTGTTCAAACTTGAAAAAAAATTCCAATGTGAGATAAAAAGAAAAAAAAAAGAGCAAAAAGAAAAAAAATTGTTTAGTGTTCAAGTGTTCTAATTGAAGGTTGCTCAAGAAAAATTCAAAAGAAAAAAAGTGTTCAAAGTTTATTTGTTCACTCAAGTTCTATAATGTTATATTTTGTATATATGAGTGAACTTGTAAGTGTTGGAAATATTTTTAATATAATTGGATGTTTGGTGAATTATTTTATAGTGTTGAGTTATGTTGGAGATCTATGGTCATTATTTATTTTTGACTTCGGTTTTACTAGGATTTGGCCCCCTTAAGCATGGCTTTACTCTCACATTTTCCCAAATTTATTCTACCTTTTACCCTAACCTTACGCTATAAGCTTTGAAGACCTTCCGACCTTTGTGCATAGAGTTGTATGAATGTGAAATTAGTTGTTTATCAATGCAAAAAATGATTTGATATATTCCGAGTCGACTAATAGATTGAGTGTTTGTCTTTTAAACACGCGAGTGCGTTAGTTGGGAGGGCATTGTTCACATATAAAGGGGTGGTTGGAGTGCGATCGAGTACATCTTTTACTCGCCACATAAATGAGAGTTGGGTGTGTGAGCACTAGTCTTGAATTGTATATGCTCTTGTGGTTTGCTCTAATTGACAATTGTTAAGGAAGATTGGTAGTTGGATGGATTTGATTGATTGACTTTGATACTTGTCGAATTTACCTTGAATTG